CCCCCGCTCCCTGCACAAGGCTCCGAATCTGTGAGGAGGAAACAAACGGAAAATGTTTGATCCCATATATGGATCAGGCTCTGTAAAATGAGGAACGTGAAATGCGGAAAATATGTCAAACTCGCATCTTACATGTTAATCCATGCACTGAGACATTCATCCTTATTAACTTTCTGTCCATCAATCCGCTTTCTCTTAATCATTCTTTATTCTTTGCCTCATTACTGTGCATGTTGTCTGCATGCGCACTGTAATACGAATGAAATAATGATTTCTGCAATATTGGGTGATTCTGTGTCCAACAATTTAAACAGCAAATCTTGATTATTTTACTTGACTCAGTCTGTCAACGTTCAACTTGGTGGTGAACTTTGACCACTGAAAGTGGTGGAGTTACAGAATGACAGTTGAGCTGTAACAATGGTCAGAAAGTCCGGCATTTGATTCAAACGATACCTAGTCATTTCGAAATAATTCTGAAAACGATAGGACCATCCTGCTGAATGGCTCTTTATGAGCAAGAATTGCTTCTCCTCAAACCAGGAAGAGCATCAAACGACTAGCCTGCCCATTGAAGATGAATCATACTGTGCATTTAGAATCGAGGTTGTTGTATGGGAAAAGAATTGTTTACAGATATGAATTTGGTGCAATACCATTTACACATAGCAAAATAACCGAAAACAAAGGAAAAAGACACTCGATGGATCAGATGGGCTGTTTCATAAAGGTAAAATAAGTAGGAAATGAAAAGTGATGGAATCACGAAACAACTTAATCTGTACTCCGGTTCCGCTGAAAATACTAATGTAATAAAATAATTCCGTAAATCGTACGATCGTATGTGACTCACACTACCGAATTAAACCTGATCGATAAACGAGAAAGCGACGATCAGGTATAAAAGTTTTTACCTTTCTGATGTGTATCCGCAACGGAACTCGGCTGACTGCAGATCTGCAATAAACGCGCATGCGGAATTAATTTACCGCATCAAGCGACTAATTTTCGTACCTGCTTCAAAGTTCTGGACTCGAGGTTAGAATGAAGCTTAGACGAAGACGTGGAAAAATCCGGACGGTCGTCGTTAGGGTTCGAATAGAGATTCATGCAGCCGTTTTTGCTGCAGTTCGAAGACAAAGGCGTAGGCGTAAGCGACGGCGACGAACGGAATTTGGTCTGTGACAGATTTCATTTGAGGTGAGAAAAACAACAAAGGAGAAGCATGACAGAAAAAATCAGTACCTCATCGGACTTCTTTTCCAATAGTGACGAGTGCTCACGTCGAATCGACTGACACGCGTTGTTAAAGGTTTTCTTAATGCCTGAAAAAAGTAGCAGCTGCGTCTGATCGGGAGCGTATCAAATTTGAGAGTACTTACTATCAGATTTGCGCTTGTGACGAAACACGCAGACGAGCAGAAAGATGGCCAACACGATCAGCAAAAAACCAACGATGCCGCCGAGCATGAAGAGAAGAGTCTCTGAATCGAGACTCAGCTGATTCGAACTCAACGGTACACTAACGTTTCTCGAAACCCCCTGAGAAGTCGTGGTCAGAAAATTCAGCGAATTTTCTGAGCCATCTGAATCTGTAAAAAATCGACAAAAATGTTTGAAAAGGGTGACATCTCACAAAGGATGAAACAGCGTGGTGAGAGCGTTTTATATAGAATTTCGTTGACGAAACCGTAATGACGAAGATGTTCCTCAGTGATAAATTAATAAGTGCAAAAGTAAACAGAATCCATGGAAATGAAGAATGATATTCACGGAACAGTGAAGGAAACATAGGCCATGAATATTCGCAATAAAAACCAAATTCAGAGTCTGCCTGTGTCAGAATCCTTGCCAGGAAGGGAAAGATGAATTGCCGGTACATCTCTGTTCGAGTTAAGAAAGTGTTGAACCGGCTGTGGGTGGCATGATGCAAGTACAAAGCGAGCTGAAACTTAGGGCGGAACGGGTGACTGTTATCAGCCAGTACGCTATGACCACGACGGAGGAGAACCTTGTCTTTTCCAGGGTCAGCCGTGTTTCAGATGACGAAGTCAAGAACCACAACGAATTGCAAAAACAAACGTAAATATCCGTTGGCAAAGCTAATTGTGAGTAGA